TGGTCGCTTTCTCTGTCCGGGAGGAGTTGCCCAGGGCCCATGCTATGTGAACGGGGGGGCCATAGCTGGGCGTTCTTTTGTCACCACCTTTATCAGAGCGCACGGGATGGAAGGATATGATAGGTGTTTACCCCAGCCCAGATTCGATTTAGATGTGCACATTGACGAGCAAGGTCTCACGGCCACTGGTTCTACCAAAACTGCAATCTCCAGCATTGTCTCTGGTGCTCGCCGTTTGCATTCAATTGTGGAGGATGTCTTGGGCCGTGCAGTTTCGCGATGCACAAGACCGCCATCGTTGCTTCCTCAAAGCATGGTGGAGATCATGTGTCGGCCATTCTGTCTGATCTATGTTCTGTTAGTTCCTGTACGGTTTTGAATTCAGGCGTCGGCTACGCGGCTGGTCGCGCCTTCAGAGTCCAAGGCCGCGCGGCGAAGCTCAAGGCCAGGATCGCGGCTGCCAGCAGGAAGGACACTCGGCTTCGCAGACAGAATTAAGGCGCCCAAGAGAAGTGCCAACGTTCGTGTTTTTTTTTTGGGGGGGGGGCAGTTGGCCCTCTTGCTGGTGCGAGGCGCGGGGGCGAGGTCACAGGCATTTCCGATCTTGAGTTGCTACTCATCCGCCGTCGTCTCTGTAGCACCGTTTGTCCTCGCTCTCCGTTGCGTTCGCTCGCCGCCCCGGCTGCTCTGCACGGAGACCCTTGCTGGCGCGCGGTTCGTTCGCCCATCATTCGTTCGGCGAAAGAGGTTTGGCTTGCCCAGGCGTCCCAGTTCGAGTGGCCCCTCAGTATGCCAGAGCTTTCGCCGCGATTTCTAGCGTAGCTTGTCCGATCTCTGCTTTGCGCATGTCCGTCTCTAGGCTCGGCTGGGTCATGCTTGATTTTGTGGCGACTAAATATTGCCGGGGTCTCTCTGCTCACCTTGGCATCATGTCTTAAGCAAGAAGCTGTGCCATGCAGCCCACCTCCGCTCTCGAGTGAGACGCGGCTGCCAAGAAAAGGAGTCAATCATAGGTTGTGTTTCGATAGTGTGAGGGGGTCTTTGGCCAGTAAAAAGTTCACCCCTCTTGACAAGAGTCGGATCCGCGCCCTTGCCGCCGAGGCCTTCCCCACTCGGGAGCGCGCTCTCAAGCTGGGATATCAGGTTGACATCGCCTGCCCCTTGTGTGGCAAGCCTGGCACTTTATTTTACAGGCTCTGGTCTTGTTTTCACATTTCAGCCACTGCTTTGGGAAAGGAAGAGGTGAAGGAGGAGGATGTTGCGTTGGCTCCCAGGGCTGAAGAGTTGGGCAAAGATCTCCTTGGTTTTACTTTAGGAGCTTTCGCTCGCCCCCCCCCCCCCCCCCGACTCGTACCCTGGTCCTTCCACGGAACACGCTGACGGTCTTATCGTTGCGTGGCATGAGCGTGATCAGGTCTCGCCCGTAGGTCCGTGCGCTCCCACCGCCCTTTGGCGCTCGCTGTTTATCGATGGGTCGTGCTACAGACATCCCATCCGTGAACGCAGCCGAGCAGGCTCTTGTATTGCTATGGTGGATGATGTAGGATATCGTGGCGGAATTCCGTGCTCCTGCGTGGGCCCCGTTTCCCCAGACCCCGTGGGGATCGGAGTTTTCGGCCTACACTAAGGCCCACGTGTTAAGCCTTCCTGGATACCCCCAAGCCTTTTTTCCGCATGCTCCAACGTGGTGAAGTTAGCCAACGGGCCTCGCTCATCTCATTTGTCTGGCAAGCGCGTGTATACTGGTGCCTTTCTCCAGCGTTACTCCTCCTCCTCCTCCTCCTCCTCCTCCTCCTCCTCCTCCTCCTCCTCCTCCTCCTCCTCCTCCCTCCTGCCGCATGAGAAGGTTGCTGCTCGCAGGGATGCCGACGAGGTCGGCATTCATAGTCGGGAGAGGTGGAGGCGGGCGGCAGGTCGTCATGCGGACGCCGGCGCGAAGCATGCTGTCAATTTGCATCCGCGTGACGAGGGTGTTCTGGTCTCCATTGACAGAATGGTTCGCGCCGCCCGTTGCACGCTCATGCTAGCCGCTCGGCTGGCACATCTTTGGGAACTCCTGGGCCTTTCCAGCGTTGTGCTTTTGAAGGCCCTTCCTGCCCATCCTGGTCCCAGGCGCAGGTGGCGTCCCTGGGCGGGGCTCTGGTTGCGAGGTCTGTCTCAAGGGGAAGCGGTCGGCCACTTGCCCTGATCCCAGCCGCTGTTCCAACTTCAGCAAGCTTCACGCTTCCAGGCTGGATGCGCTCAATCATTGTGTCATTGCCTTTGATTGTGACGACCTTTCGGTGCTGTCCATATGCACCAAATGCTTTTGTTAGACCTCTGGTGCCAGGGTTCGCGGCCCAGCGAGCGTTGCTTAGGCCCCTCGAGGTCCAGGCGTTCGGGCTGGAATCAACTGTGCAACAAAGGTCGCCACCCCCAGTGCAGCAAGAGTGGAGTTCGAGTCCACATTGGTCATCTCATGCAGTGCTTCAATTCTGTTGCCAGTGCGCATCTTGACGCTGCCGCGGTCGGCAGCAGCGTCAGGCCTGCTGCGCCTGTCAGTCTTGTTGCCTCCGCCTTAAGCTGTGATGAGATACCGCCCAGACCCCCCTGCGGCGAGCGGCAAGTCAGGTCAGACTTGCACTCAAGAGCCTCGTATATCTGAGCCTTCGGCCTCTGTGGCCAAGAGCTCGGTACCACCACCCGATGGGAGTGGTGAGACTGGCGCCGAGCTCGCCGTCGATCCTCTTGATGCGGAGGAAGAGGCTTCTCGGCATCTGTTTGGTGACTTTGTCAGTTTTGGCCGTGGCTTCCTCCCTCCCGCCCGCGTGTACTCAGGCCGTGCTCCTTCCTGGAGGCGAGAATGCCCTGGAGAGCGAGGCTGCGGGCTTGCGTGCTGGCCCCTCCTGCGTCAGCCCAGCGTGCTGGAGTGCGAGTCATCAGGCGATTCGGACTATTTTCACATTAGCATTCGGATGTCCCCCACCGCCGTCAGACTTCATGCATTTGGTGGAGGAGAGCTGCTAAGCTGAAAAAAATGTTTCTCTCCATGCCGACCTTGGGAATTCCGTCAATTTCCGAAAACGCATTCCTAAGCATCTCATCGCTTTGTGGCTTGTCGATCTTTGGGCTAGGGATAAGTTCACTGCTCGCTCAGCCGGCCCAAAAAAGTCAGGGAGAGGGGGACGAGACGGGGTCGGCATTGTGGGTGCGCCCGGTGGCCGCCCGCCTGGGTTGACGCTGCTGGCGCTGCTCCCTCATAGCAGGCCGAGCGGGGGGGGGATCATCACGCCGTCGTCGCCGCCGCCGCCGTCGACGTCGCCGTCGTCGTAGCCGTCGTCGTCGTCGTCGTCGTCGTCGTCGTCGTCGTCGTCGTCGTAGTCGTCGCCGCCGTCGCCGTCGCCGTCGGCGTCCGACCAAACCCGCGCAGAATCGGCTCCCAGAGGCCTCCGGGGTGCCGTCCTGGCCAGTCGTTCTCGCCGCACCCAGCCGTGGCGACGAGATCTAGAGAAGCATTGCGGAAACGTTTCAAAGCGGTCAAAAAAATACGATGACAACAGCGAAGACGCCCTCGACCACGGCGGCGACGGCGACGATGACGGAACCGAAGACGACGAACTCGTTATCTCTCTAGACGACGGCGGCGACGTCGTCGACGACGACGATTACGACCTCGACCGAGAAGCTCCGAGGACCAGCGAAGGTCTCCCAGAACGCCTGCGATGTTTTTGAAATATGCCAGGATGTTAATAAAACAACGACGGTGAGTGACCCCCGCGTGTGAAAGGCGAGAGGAGATAAAAAACGAAGGTGCGTCACTGTACTCAGTGCCATGTCACGGTTGCGCATGGCAGCCAGGTTTAGGGCATGTTCGGTTTTGAGGTCCAGCTACATAGCGTGGAGCCGGCAATTGCGACGATAGTAGAAGCAGCACCAACGTCTTCGATAACGACGTAGACGACGGCGGCGCCGACTACGACGACGACGACGGCGACAATTACGAATTCGACCAGGAACCTCCGAGGACCATCGAGGGCCTCCCAGAAAACTTGTTGTTGCGATGATATGGTGCCAAAATTTTAGAACATGAGCCACGTTGGCGTCTGTTCAAAAAGCTCGTCTATGTGGTTGGACGCTTCAGCCACTTGTTTATGCACGGCATGTAGCCCAGGGGCTTCACGATTACGTCGCCGAGCTTGTCGTCGTGCTGATGTGTCCGCCAGCAAAACACTGTGCAAATAAAACAGCCACGACGAGCGACCCACGCACCTTTCCTGGGGCGCGTTCTGGCCATAACTTCGAGTCGTATCGAGCAGCGGTCACCAGGGCCCCCCCTGGAGTTGAGATGTTCCAACCTACTTTAGCCTTGATCAGCAGAAAGAATTTCGAGTACCAATACAGAACCGAAACTGGAGGGTTTTCACGTGTCGGGTCATGGGAGGCGATACTCGTTCGAGACTGTTTCGATATTGCTCAGGGTGCTCGAAATTGTTTTTGGGATGTGGTTCTTATGTGCGATGGGAACAACATAACCCTGGAGGCCCCTCCAGGCAACACAAGAGCAGCGAATCCTCAAGCGACGACGCCGCGGCTCTGTGGTTGGACCCCGCCCCTGGCCGCCGCGTGGCTCGAGGTCTCCCAGAAACGGGGTTTGGAGCAGATGGGGTCGGACGCCGCGGCTCTGTGGTTGGACCCCGCCCCTGGCCGCCGCGTGGCTCGAGGTCTCCCAGAAACGGGGTTTGGAGCAGATGGGGTCGGAGGGTCGCGCCGCATCGCCGCTGCATCGCCGAGGAGGAGAAGGAGGAGGAGGAGGAGGAGGAGGAGGGAGGAGGAGGAGGAGGAGGAGCAGGAGGAGGAGCAGGAGGAGGAGCAGGAGGAGAAGCCCGATGCTCTCCACGCCGACGCGCGCGTCGCCGATGTATCGCCAGCGTCGCCAGGGCATCGGCGATGCATCGGCGATGCGGCGCGACCCACGGAATCCCCATCTGTGCGGATCCCATCTGGGAGGCTTCCTGCGGCAGGTGCCCAAGATCGTGCTGAAGCACAAGTCGCGGCGGCGGCTGTGGCAGCGCCCGGGCCCTGGCTTCCTGGGGAACCCGTCGCCGCTCTGGTCGGGTCGCCCGCTGCCTGTCGGGGCGGACTCTTTACACTCGAGGGCAGAAGGAGCGCCGATCTGGGTCGGCGATCCCAGCAGCCTTCGGCCTCTGGTAGCTGGAGATCCCACTCGGGTGCTGCTGGAGGGCTTGGAATTGGCGGAGGCTGGCGCACGGCGAGCCGTCCGCTAGAGACACGCGCCCGCCAGCCAGCGCTTGCGAACACGGTATTGCTTCCCCATCTTTGGGTGTTGGGGCGGATTGGGAGGAGGGGGCGAGGAGGTCGAACATTGCTGGAAGGAGCTGGAGCGACCCCGACTGCTGGGCACTTTCCCTTGTGTTGCACGGCCCTTCGGCGCCGGGAATTGACTGACCCTTCCTTTCGTCAACCCCGAGTAGCAGGTGTGTGCGATAACGGGGTCAGCGAGTCGCCTCTGATCCCCTCTGGCCGAACCAGGCTTGGGAGCCACGAAGAGCCATCCACAGCTCCCCACCATCTGCTGATCTGGGTCTGGAAGCTACTATGCGGCTGACCAGGGCTTGGGACAAGGACGGCTGCTTCCTCAGCGTTGGCTTCCGGAGGCGCTTTTTCGGCCCGGGGCCGTCGAAAATCGATCCGGGACCAAGCGGCCGGGAGGGTCTGGTCCAGGCCTCCGATTCTGTATGGGTTTTGGAGGATCGAGTTTCGACGAGGTTCAAGGATCCATTATTCTGCGTCTTCCAACTTCGGGACCTCTTGGAGACCCCCGTCGCCACCAGCCGGAGTCCTTTCGAAGTTCTGACCAGGGCCCCACGGCACACCAAGGGTTGTGGCGGACCAACGCTATGAAGTCTGAATGCACAACTAATGGATTTTCTGGATTGTGTTTTTATTTCTTGCCTGTTATTTCCCCCTTTCTTGGTCGGATGCCTGTCTTCTTTGTTTTGCGCATCTCGTACCCTGGGGCGTCACCCTGTTCACGCGTAGCCGTTTCTCATGCATGATGTGCAGCCATTGTAGAAAGGATGTGGCTCCTTGCCCATGAAGGGAGCAGTTTGGTGGCTAACCTCCAAGCGTCCTGTTGTGACGTCGACTGTTAATGGCATGTCGATATTTGTTCATAGTATTAACTTGTTGAGCATGTGTCCTCCTTCTCCTTCTCCATTTCCTCCCCCCTCACCCTGTTCTCCACGATCTCCAGGCGAGCTGTCGGGAACATGGGAATATCAGTGAAATGGAAAGGCAGACAGTAGTCAACGTAGAGGCCTTTTGGAGCCATGTGGAAGCTTTTTCGGGCCCCCACTGTTGGGAGCTGTTGGAGTCCTCTCGGGACCCGCTCGGTGACCACTCTCGAGAGTATTTTGGAGGCCATCGAGCAAGCGGACTAGCACTGCCCCCCATGGAGCCCAATTTCCTACTATAGGCGCTTTCGTTGGGACGCATGTGGATCGTGCTGAAAGCTCGCTTAGGCCGTAATATGAAGGGTATCCTCGGGGTACCAGGCTGTGCGTTTCAGATTGCCAAGTCGCTCTTGGCACCCTGTTCCGATCCGATCCGAGGCGTCCGGGAAAGCAGCGCGCCCAGCCGTTGGACGCGATTGCCCGCGATCCCAGAACGGGCTTATGTTCGTCCAGGGCGAGCCCGACACTTCAACTTGACGGTTCGCCGCATTAAGTTGAGACGTTGAGTGCCGAAGTTGATAGCAAAAGTTTGTTCAGTCGTTGTTGTTCAAAGTTCTTTTATCCTGCCAGCATCAGTGTTGTTTGGTTCGGCTTGCCACTTTAGCACAATGTGTGATCAGACAAAAGAACATCGACCTCTGCGTAGGACCTCTAGAGCCATGGATCAAGTATCTGGAACTGAATCCGGCGGGGTCACGGGCACCGACGCCGTTCGCCCTGCCCCCCCCCCCGCGTTCTGCGCTACCCCCTATTTTCTGCGGGGCTGTCTTTACAGGGACGTGGGGGGAGAATTTGCGAGGAACAGGGTGCCTGAACGTGATTCGGGCTAGCGGAAAATGAAGTTGTCACAAAAATGACAAGGTCTGAAACGTCGCGTGTGGGCAAACATATGTTGTCTTCGTTGTTGCTTGAACCTCTTGTTCTTGTGTGCCCTCCTGTATTCGCCCGGAACGGCTCCCGAATCTGAGGTACGGGCGCACATGTATACATATGCGAATACACACATGTGAATCCATATATATATATATATATATATATATATGTATGCACTTGTGGATACATGTATATTCGGGAGTATGTAAGCATGTAGGTACATATGTTTGCATGTATACATGTGCGCATGGATGCATGGATGTAGTTGTGCACGTATGCATGTATGTGTGTAGGTGCACATAGTTTTCTTATGTATGTGTGTATGTATATGTGTATGCCTATGAGTGAACGTGTGTATGTGTATGTATGTGTGTATGTGTGCATGCATGTGACTTTGCATAGGTGTGTATGAATGTCTGTGTGTGTGTGTGCATATGCGTATGTATGTGTGTGCATGCATGTATGCACAGTGTCAGCACGATAATGATCCCTCGCTCGTTTGATTTCCGTACTTCGCAACTTGTGCTCAAGTTCTGTTTCCCCGGGATCAGGTCCCATGGGAGTCCCAGCAGGTCTCAGCGAGACCGACCAGACCGTCTGCATACGCGCCCTGGAGCTGCTGGCCCTCAGGCAACCGCTGCTCTCCGCGGTCCCCGTGTGTCCTGCGGTATTGGAGGCGTGACGCCCGCGAACATCAGTTGTCCGCCGCAGGCGAGGCCGCACAACCGGGGTTGCCTCAGCTGGGGTCGGAGAGCAAGCTCGTGAGCAGCGCCATTTGTGGAGGCAGAGGCATGGTGAGAGTCGGTGATTACATTCTCTTCGGGTATGGCTTGGCGGGAGCGCTGGTGTACCACGAGAGGCGATCTGCAGGCGTCTCGCTCGGTGATCCTGGCCTCATCAGCGCGTACTCCCAGGACAGGGACCACTACGCGGAGCCCCTGATCTCGGGAAAGCTGTACGACGTGAGCGGGTCGTGCGTCCATGGCGCGACGACCCCAGGTGGGAATCCAGCGCACCTGCACCGCTGCCGCCAGGTCCCCAACGAAGCGGAGGTGAGATGGCGGAGCCGTGAGGGATCGCTCCTGGTCGGAGGTGCTGTGGCCGCTGCTGCGGGGGGCGCCGCGGCTGCCCTGCCTGGCGCGCCCGCGGCCGCCCAGGGAGGGTCGCCCGCGTCGGCGCCCGTGCCTCAGGGCCCAGGCTTGGCGGGAGGCGTGCCCCGCGCTGGGCCGGCAGCCGCCCCGGTCCCCGCCAGTACCGTTTGGCCCGCTACCGAGGATCATCGCGGCCTCAGGCGGGGAGGGCGGCCGCCGACCCTGCTGCCGGTGGGATCGACCATGCACGGGGGCGAGGCGCTCGTCCCGCACGCGGGTGTCTTCGTCGCAGCGAGGCAGGTCCCCGTGGCGGAGAGCGGCGCGTTCGTGGGGGACGACCTCTGCGTGCTGCCCGTCCGCGTCAACCAGGACGGAATCAGGCGCCGCCCGTTCAGCGAGGCGGGGGGCTTCCAGGTCTCAGACGAGCCCGAGGAGTGCGTCATGCTATCGTTCCCCCGCGCGTTCACGCGGGTACTCAGGTCGTGGAGGAAAGCGGGGATCTCGCATGTCACTCACCACGCCAACTGGCTCAGGGCAGGGCGCCTCCTCGATGTCGACCGCCCTGAGCACAAGCATGAGGTAGTGGCGAGGGTGCTGGACTACTCGGTGACCGTCAACCAGCTCAGCGCCCCCGAGCTCCGGAGCGCAGAGCTGATCTGCCGCAGGATCTCGCTCTTCGATGATGCCCCCTCGGTGTCGCACTCGAACCCCGGCGACTCGGCCGCCAAGGACTACATGGGCTGGTCCCCCACCGCCAGGGCGCGGCCGCCGCGCTCAACCTGCAGCGGCACGCCGCCACGGCGATGCGCGACCGAGCAGCATTCAGCTGGCCGAAGGGGGAGCAGGAGCTGCACCGTGGCAAGGGCTGGGGCAAGACCGGCGCCGGCGGTTCCGTCGGCGCAGCATCATGACGTCTACGAGTCGCGGGGGGTGGCCGTCCCGCGACGGACACAAGGCCAGCGCAGGCCCGCCTCAGCCTTCAGAAGGTCACCTGTGGGCCCTTCCCGTCTAGAGGCGGCGGCAGATCGCCAGCGAGATCTCTTCCCGCTGCCCTCTATTCAGCCGGCGCCGCCGACCATGTCAGCTTCATCGTCTACGAGGCGGAGGTTGGCGACCGCCACCATTTTGAACGAGGTCAGGATGGCCCCGAAGTCTGACACTCATTTCTCTTGCCGTGGGGCCGTTAAGGAGCTCCTGGCATCCAGCCTGTCCTACACCGCGGACGAGGCACCGAGTCCTGTGGCACGGTGCGTCAGATCCCCTGTCGACATCCCAGAAGTGGGTGCGGTCATACTTCCCGTCGAGTCGGCGCTCGATGAGATCGGGAAAAGTTACGTGCTGGACTATGAGCAGACGATGATAAAGACCCCCGACGAGTGGCCCCGCGTCTTGGACAGCGAACCGCCCGTCACCCCGTACATGGACGAAGTCTTGAAGCGTGACCCTTCTGCGTACAACACCCTCATCGGCGACTTGGCGAGGGCCAACATGCTGGGTTTCACGCGCCGCCCGAAGGACCTGGTCACTCCCTTCTTCGTGGCCAACGAGAGCGGGGCACAGCGCCTCGTCTGGGACGCTCGAGTGCCCAGCCGACGTTTTCGCGACCTGCCGCCGTTGGCCATGGGGACTTCGTCGGCGCAGGGTCGACTTCAATTCCCTGATGATCGTGATGAGCCCTGAGGCTACCGCGCCAGGGTCTTATGTGCTCAGGCCGACGTGCGAAACTTCTTCTACGCGCTCGGTCTGAGGGAGGAGCTTGGCCTCTTCTTTGCTCTGCCGCGGGTCCCCCAGGCCTCGTTGTCGCAATGGGGGGTTGAGGCAGTGGGCTCTCCCGACTGGGGGCTGGGTCTGGCCCTTCCCCCGCGTCGTTCCGATGGGGTGGTCTTGGGCTTTCTTGCTCGTTCAGCGTGCCAGCGCGCGCGTCTGACGGTCGGTCTCGGGGCTCGGGGCCCCTCGGGTGCTGACCGATCGCGGCCGTGTGCCCCCTCTGGACGGGGGGGTCCCCTGCCTTCTACCTTATTGCGATAACATCAGCGTGATCGGCACGGACCCTGTCAGATGCAACTCCGCGGCGCACATGATCTGTGGCGCCTGGAGGAAGCACGGCGTCGAGATCCACGAGGTGGTCGAGGCGTCCGACGTCCTCGCCAGCCTCGGCCGCCTGATAGACGGCTCCTCCGGGCGAGTGTTCTCGCGCCCTGAGCGTACCGTGCCGTTGCACCAGGCCTCGCTGCGGTTCGAGCAGCGTCCTAGAGTCGCGGGCAGGGGGGTAGAGAGGTGCGTTGGGCACTTCATTGATCATTTGATATTGAAGATGGAGCTGCTTTCGGTCCTCAGGAGTTTATGCGATTTCGTCAGGGATTGCCACCACGTTCGTTCCCGTCTTTGGCCCTCAGCTGCCCGCGAAGTCGAGCAGCGCCGTCGCCCGTTGCCTCTGATCTCGGCAAACCTACGGCTTCAGTGGTCGCCGGCTGTTCTCGCTTACGATGCATGTCTGACCGGCATGGCCGCTTGCCAGACATTTCTATCAGCAGATCTTGTCAAGGGTATCGATTCAGTCAGCGAGAGGTGGAGATATCGCATGCCTTCGGCTAGATCGGCACGCCGGTCAGCTCTGACAAGCGGGGGCGACAGGCGGGGGGGGCCTCGGAGGGCCCGCGCGACGTCTTCATCGATATCGAGACCGTCAGGACCCCTGGGAGCTCAGCCCGCAGTTCATTGAGGTGCCCCGTGAGGCACTGCAAGGCCCCAGGTGGAAGCAGGTCGTCTCGAACAGGGTTTACGTCGGGGAAGCTATCGCGATCATCGAAGGGAGGGCCTCCAACATGGCGTCGCGGCGCATCGTGGGGCCCAGGGCTCCTTTGGGCTTCGTCACCTTCGTGTGCCCGCTCTTGCTCTGCTGCAGCCGTGAGACGGCCCACTCGGTTGCCACTGCGTCGCGTATCGAGCGCGGTTGGGCACCTTCCGAGTTCAACCCCGCGGACGAAGGGCCCAGGCGATGGGGCGCCAAGTCGGGGGGCGTCGCGGCCGCCTCGCGCGGTGGCCAGGCGCCCAGCCGACCACCTCGAGATAGTCCAGAGGAGCTTCTGGAAGGGCAGGCTTGTCGTTGGGGCCATGATGGAGGAGAAGGTTTCACATCGTCTCCTTACCTCAGGTCATTCGCGATCGTGAGGGAGGACAAGCGGCTGGAAGGGGGCCTCGGTGACTCCCGAGACCCAGGCCTACCACCAGGAGGCCCTCCACGAGGTCCAGGTGTCCGTCGACCTCCCCGCTCTGCCCGCGCAGACCGCTGCTCGGGTCGACCGAGCTTGGGCGAACTACACAGGATGCGCCTGGACCATTGGGTTCGAGAGGGCCGTCGTCCTGAAGACGCATGCCGCGCGCATCTCGGCACGCCCCGACTCTCCCCGAAGGGGATTGCTCCGCCCGCAGCGTTTCTGTCGGGTCCTCCTGGGCTGGGGCCTGGGCCCAATGCAGACGCGCCCGCCGAGGCCGTGCCAGATCGAGGCACTCGGGGCCCCCAGGATAGCCACGCTGCTGGTGGCCCCGCAGGCGGCGCCGATAGTGGCGTTGCGGTTCGGGGCCTTCCTCGCGCCCTGCGAGGCCGCCGGGCAAAGCCAGCAGGGCCGCTTCCACGCTGGGGGCGCGTCGAGTGACTACGGCTTCAACCAGCGCCACAGCGCCAGGGGCGAGTTCAACCAGACCAGCTTCTCCCACGAGAGCCTCCTCCGCGCCTCTTTCGAGGTGCCGGGGCTGGGCCCGCTGGAGGCTCGCGCCAGGTCGGGCGACCCGCTCGACCCGCCGTTCTGGCCGACGGCCGTGCAGCTCGGTCTCTGCAGGTTTCTCACGCTGGAGCTTTCCGGAGTCCCAAACACATGCGGGCCTTGCCAGCTGCGCCTTGGCGGGCCTGCGCACGACCGCCGCTTGCGCCACCGCGCCGTGGCGGAGATCAGGGCCCGCGGGAGCTGGACCAGCGACTACGCGATGAAGGTGCACGACGCGCACTCCTGGGTGCAGCAGGGGCAGGCGCCCCGCTCAGCCGACATCAGCCGCCGCGCCGAGGCGGCGCCCAGCAAGCTGCACGCCGAGCTCGAGCGGCTGGTGGCCCCACTCGCCCAGGCAAGGACGGCCCTTCCGCCTTGTGCTCGTCCGCCTGCTCGCGCTTCGCGCAGGCGCCGCCGCGCACCTCCTTCAGAGGCGTGGCCGCCCGTGCACGGGCCAAGCCGCTCCTCGAGCTGATATGCGGCTCCGCCAACCTGGCCAAGGCTGTCTATGCCGCAGGCTGGGCTGCAGAGAGCTGGGACTACGCCGATGGTTCGGGAGCCGGTCTGCTGGATGATGGGCTCATCGAGCTCCTGGTCGGGAGGATCTCTCGAAATGATGTCGTGGGGCTTCGCGTCGGCCTGGGTTGTAAGACGTGGTCTAGGGCTCGAAAGAATAACGGCCTGGGTCCGCCGCCGCTGAGAGACGATGTTCGCGCGCATGGTCTTGAGCACCTGGCGGCGGCGGACGCTGAGAAGGTTTCGGTTGCCAATTGCTTGTTGGCCAATGTTCTGCGTTTGCTAGTTGCCGCCATTGAAGCAGAAGCCCCCTTCTCGCTCGAGAATCCTCGGTCTTCTCGCCTGTGGCTCGCCCCCGAGCTGTTGAATCTGGCCCACACGGCGAAGGCCGAATGGGTTCAGGTCGACTATTGCCAGTACCATGCTCTTTGGAGGAAGTCGACCGCATTTCTGCTTTTCAATTGGCTGCCAGCGCAGTCGCGCCTCCGCATTTGCACAGGTTCCCAACAACGTCACAGGTAAGAGTCACATTACGCTGAAAGGAACAGATCCTCCCGGCGTGCTCTGGACATCGCGGGCCTGCCCGTGCCCGCCAGCCCTCTGCAAGGTGCTTGCCGAGCGGATAGTGGCCAAAGCCAAGACACTGTGAGGCAGTTGATCGGGGCTCAGAGTCTTGTATCACGTTCGCTGTGTCTTGCAGGCCCGCGCGCACTGGCGCTGGCCCGCTCAACCCGACGTTCGTTCTCTTGAGTTGTCTTTATGCGCAGTGACGTGCTGGAGAAAATGAACCTTGGCAGAGGGGAAGAGCTCAGATCATGTATGTATGCGCGTGCGTACGTATGTTTGTATGTATGTATGTGTGCATGCATGTCTGTATGCATGTATGTATGTACGTATGCATGCACATATGCAGGTGTATATCTATGTGGTTGATACGGCTTCTATAAGTGCGTGCATGCATGTTTTGTGTGTGCATGCATGTGTCCATGAATGCAGCCTGCATACATCATGCAGTTGTACATGTGGTTGTGCATATATGCATGGATGCATGTACGATGTATGTGTGCATGCATGCGTGTATGCATGTATGCATGCATTCATGCATACATGCACGTATGTATGGATGGATGGATGGATGGATGGATGGATGTGTGCATGTGTGTATGTATGTATGCATGCATGCGTGCATCTGTGTAGGTAGGTAGGTAGGTGTGTGTTTGTGCGCATGCATGTCCAACTGCACATATGTGGGTATGCATGCAGGCATGTATGTATGTATGTAGGTATGTAGGTATGTATGCATGCATGTATGTATGTATGTGTATGTGTATATGCCTGTATGCACGTATGTATGTTTGTATGTATGTATGCATGCATGTATGGATGTATGGATGGATGTATGGATGGATATATGTATGTGTGTATGCATGTATGTATGTGTGCATGTATGCATGCATGCATGCATGCATGCATGCACACATGCATGCATGTACGTATGATTGTATGTATGTATGTATGTGTGTATGTATATATGTATGTATCTGTGTGTGCGTGTGTATGTCTGCATGTTTGTGTGTATGCGTGTATGTGTGTATGTGTGTGTTTGTATGTATGTATGTATGTACGTATGTTTGTATGTATGTATGTATGTATGTATGTATGTATATGTATGTATGTATGTATGTATGCATGTATGTATGTATGTATGTGTGTATGTATGTATGTATGCATGTATGTATGTATGTATGTATGTATGTATGTATGTATGTATGTATGTATGCATGTATGTATGTATGTATGTATGTATGTATGTGTGTATGTATGTATGTATGTATGTATGTATGTATGTATGTATGTATGTATGTATGTATGTATGTATGTATGTATGTATGTATGTGTATGTATGTATATGTATGTATGTATGTATGTATGTATGTATGTATGTATGTATGTATGTATGTATGTATGTATGTATGTATGTATGTATGTATGTGTGTGTATGTATGTATGTATGTATGTATGCACGCATGCATGCATGCATGCATGCATGTATGTATGTATGTATGTATGTATGTATGAAAGAGCGTGTTCTACCGCTGCTGGCGGAAAACCGGGGGGGGTCACTACCGGTTCGAACCCCTCCCCCCCCCCCCCTCCGGAAAACCGGGGGGGGTCACTACCGGTTCGAACCCCACCCCCCCCCCCCCCAGCTTATCATGAAAAGGGGGGGGGTCACTGCCGGTTCGAACCCCCCCCTCCCCCCCCCCCCATCGAAAACCGAGTGGGGGTGCGGACAGTGGTGGGGACGGTGTTGGTGGGGACAGTGGTGAGGGGACAGCGGGACAGTGGTGGGGACAGTGGGGGGGCAGTGGGAAAGTGGTGGGGACGGTAGTGGTGGGGATAGTGGTGGGGACAATGGTGGGAACAGGGGGGGCAGTGGACAGTGGTGGGAACGGTGGTGGTGGGGACAGTGGTGTGGGGACAGTGGGAATGAGGTGGAAACACTGGGACAGTGGAGGGTACAATGGTGGTGGGGACACTGGTAAAGGCGTCGGCGAGGACGGCGGTGGGACATTGGGACAGAGGTACACTGGGGACAGTGGTGGGGACAGTGGGGACAGTGGTGGGAACAGTGGGACAGCTCAGTGGGACAGCGGAGGAGTCAGTGGGACAGTGGGGACAGTGGGGATAGTCGGGCAATGGTTGGGGCCGTGGAGACAGTGGGGAGAGTGGAACCGTGGTGGGAACAGTTCTGGGGACAGCGGGGACAGTGCGACAGTGGTGGGGGCACTGGTGGGGACAGTAGGGACGGTGGTGGAACCAGTGGGGACAGTGGTGGTGAGGACAGTGGTGCTGGGAACAACAGTGGGGATGTGATGTGGACGGTGGTAGGGACCGGGAGTCGTTTGCTGGCGGTGCGTGGGAGGGGGGTCGAAACCGGTAGTGACCCCCCTCGGTTTTCGGGGGGGGGGGGGGTGTCCAACCCGGTAGTGACCCCCCCCCCCGGTTTTCGGATCCGGAGGGGGGGGGGGTGAGGGGGGAGGGGTTCGAACCGGGTAGTGACCCCCCCCCGGTTTTTCGAGGGGGAGGGGGGGGGGGGGAGAGGGGTTTGGGGGCGGGGGGTTTTGCGGGGAGGGAGGGGGGGGGGGGGGGAGGGGGTTTCCAGCAGGGGGGGGGATTTTCGGAGTGGGGGGGGGGAGGGAACCCCTGGGTTCGGAGGAAAAGGTGGGTTCCGGAGGAAAAGGCTGGCAATTTTCCACAGTAAAGCGGCGGTGGATCACGCTCTCTCGTATGTATGTATGTATGTATGTATGTATGTATGTATGTATATGTATATGTATCTGTATATGTATATGTATATGTTGTATGTATGTATATGTATATGTATGTGTATATGTATATGTAAATGTATATGTATATGTATATGTATATGTATATGTATGTGTATGTGTATGTGTATATGTATATGTATATTTATATGTATGTATATGTATGTATGTATGCATGTATGCATGCATGCATGTATGCATGCATGCATGCATGTATGTATGTATGTATGTATGTATGTATGTATGTATGTATGTATGTATTTGTGTATGTGTGTATGTGTGTATAGGCTTGTACACATAGGTGCGAATGCGTACATGTTTGGAGTTCCCAGTGCTAGGTATGGGGCCCGTGGGGCCCGGGGGACGCGGCTGTCCAAGAGGTTCCCGAGCCTGCCGCAGGGGCTTCAAGACAGGCCAGAGACGGGCCCAGATCTCTCAATGGAAACCTACAAGCTTGCCAATGTCTGCCGATTCGACTTTTCTGACTCGGTTGCCGATTTCCGTCGATCCGATTCATGTAGGTCGCCGATCCAGCTTGTCGATTTGATTCTGGGCTCTCCTGCCTCTCCCCCCAGCGCACCCAATCAGGCCTACTGCTGACATGTGCAGAGCCCGACTGAGAGCTGCCCCTGAAACCGCCGAAACCGCCCGCAGAACGGCCAGACATAACGCACCTTACCCCCCCCGTCTCGTCGCCGGCCGTCGCCGCCGTCGTCCTCCACGTCGGCGCCGCCCCTTTGCTACCCCGCCCCTGCGTGCGCCAAGCCAATGTCCCAGCGCCAGCCGTGCGGCGCGGAACGGCGCCGCCCCCCGCCCTGAGGCCGCGAGGTGGGCATCCGAGTGCCAGACTGCGCCGTCGTGCAGCACATCACGCGGGACCGCGGCGCCAAGCGACGCCGCTCAATGAAGAACACGTTGCATAAAAGCATACCTTGTCGGAGTTCCGCCCAGATTTGTTGGATTGGCGGTGGACCCCCCTCCTTGGTGCGCGGAGCGCGCCAGGGGGCGGCGTTGGAGGCGCCGCCATGGGAGCCCAGCGCCGATCCAGGGAATCCGTGCGCAGCGCCAAACATTTTTGTGTGTTATGGGCTTGTTTCCCTGCTATGTACACCCCCCTGGAAGAGTGATGCAGTTTTTGCTAGCCGTGTCGAAGAATAGTCCAGGGGCTTCAGGGGCAGCCCAACAGACCCCTAGCAAACCATCCTTTTCCGTGACGCCCCCCTCGCCTCGTCCCCAGACGTATGTGTGTGGCCAGAGGGAATGTTGAGTGGCGAGGGGGACGTCACGGAAGGGAATGACTTGTCATGGGTCGGTCAGGCCGTGCCCGGGTCATTTCTTCGGGAGTGGTCTCTCGTCCCAGGTCGACGGCCCCAGGTCTTGAAAGCGGCCCCTCAAGGCCAGCGCACGACGAAGAGCCGAAGACCAAACACGATGGGACACCGAAGGCGACGACAATAAGCCTCCTGGTCGAGGCTCGAGGAGGGAGAGAGGGAGGGCAAGGGCGGAGGAGGAAGGAGTGAGGAGGGAAGCGTGAGGAGGGAGAAAGGAAGGAGGAGGGGAAAGGGAAATGAGGAGGAGGAGGAGGAGGCGAGCAATTCTGTTGTCGAAGTGGCAAGTGCTGTCCCAGGGTTCTGCAAGGTGCTCAGGCCTTCTCCCTCTCATTTCCCCCGTCGCTCGCCGCCGATGCAGGAGCTGGACGAGCCGCTGCTGTCGTCCTCCGCGGACGATGGCCCCACCGCGGTCTGGACTCCGGGGGGCGGCGGGGGGTGGGGCAGACGGGCCGCCTCTCGAGGTGGAGGCGCCCTGGAGGGGGGGGGGACCCGGAGAGTCATCACGGTTCTCGAGTGGTCAGCGTTATTGTAGTCGGCGTTTCGGCATTGAGCGAAGGGGGGGGGGTCTGGCTCCGGACCTTTGCTTAGTGCGGCTGTCTGCAGCAGTGCGTGCCTTATGGGGGAGGCTCCACCTGCCCGAAACAGGCGCCAAAACAGCCAAGATCCACTCCAAGGGGGGGGGGAATGGAGGGGTTGCGAGGGCCCGCGCCGATCGACAAACAAAGACCACGTGGGAGATCGATTGCACGCTTGAAATGCCCCAGAGTTGGCTTCTCCGTCGAATCCATGAGAAATGCGTAGAACCTTTGTAGATCTACACAATAGTCGACGCATTGTTTTCGTAGTCTCGGCCGACAACAAGTTTGTGGGGTATATCAATTCTGTAGTCGGCCTTCTGCTCGAGGTTTTCCGCATTTCCAGAGGACCCTCCTTGGGCCCGTGGCCGTCGGCCAACGACTCGAGATGTCAACCAGAATTCGGGAAGGCTTTGGGGTCCAGGCTCATTTCCACAAGAAACGCTCCCCCGATGCCATCAGGGGGGGAAGGCAGGTGCCCAGGCAGGGAGGATGGGGAGGGAATGGCAGTGGTCAAGTCGCAAGGCCAAGCGGTGGGACCGAGCAGGAGGAGAAGGAGGATCAGGCGAGGGGTGGAAGCCTCCAGGGACTCCAGAGGCCTCCGGAGACCTCCATCGTCGACGCCAGAGACTCACATTGGTGAGATCGCAAGGTGAAGCGAGGCGCAGGAGGAGAGCGAGGAGAAGGAGGACGACGAGGACGAGGAGGAGGAGGATGAGGATGCAGATCAGCGGTGTTTGGGGTGGGGGAATGGGGACTAGGGATGGGGGGAGTGCTCGTCGTCTCGGCGGTTCATAGATGGGGCCTTGAGGGCTGGGGCCATAAAGACGACGGGCCTCAGGCAATGAACATTGAACTAGAAGCTCTTGCTACCCTTGGGGCCCTATCCCTCAGGACTCCATCTTTGAACCGCCGACCTTTTTGTCTTTCTCCTGCCGCCGCTCTGATGCTCGCACTGTGCTAGTTTGGCTTGATTCAACGTGACTGAGAATTGGCAGCACTTTCTGGGGTGTCTTCAGAAAAAATCGACCTAGCGAGCGAGTGATCAGGCGGGACGGGGATTGGGAGGAGGAGGAGGAGGAGGAGGGCGACAGCGACGAAGACGAGGACAAGGGTGAGGAGGAGGTCGCTCTTAGTTGTGAGCACACCGATGGTCCGCATAGCTCAATGCCGTAGTCCCTGCTACGCCTCCTCCGTCTTCTTTGCCTCATGCTTGTATCCCTTGTCAGCCCCAGCACCATACACGAACATACGTATTCGCATTCTCCTCTCCCTTCCAGTCCTGGTCCTCGCCGCGCGTCCCCCATCACCGTCCCATATTCTTCGACCTGTCTTGCGGCCTCCCTGTCCGCCGTCTCATGTGCTTCCAGTTGTGCTAGTTCTCCTCCCCCTCGTCTTCCTCCCCAGTTCACCATCCTCCTCCAAATGTTCAGGGGCTAATGGTATTGACGATGCGACCCGCTCTGGATTATGAAGGAACAATGTGAGCCCGCAGCGAGAGATCTCCCGATGGACCTTGGCGTGCCAAGCACTGGGCTCGCCACAATGCCAAATGTCTTGCCAACAACACGGGGTTCTTCTGGTTGGGGAACGTGTACGGGCCACACGTTCCCGTGGCGTCCCGCCATTGACCGCAGCGAGACGCTGAACCTGGTGCAGATTGCGGCGTCAGTGTTCGCGACAGTCCAACTCAAACCACGCTCCACACCTTTGACTGCGCAGTGCTCGGCGGCGCGATCGGGACGCGTGCGCGTGGAGGAGCACCCGCAGAGCATCGTGCGCAACGAGCAGAGTCCTTATATTGCACTCGTGACCACGCGTACGTGCGATGCGCAGCACAGTCAACCCGCATAATAGGGATGGGCCACATTCCCATGGGCACCCGTGCATCATTGCCCCTTCGTCCCATCCTTGGCCACTTTCGTTGTGCGCGCCCCCTTGAAAAGCTTCGGAATGGCCCTCCTAGGCCCTTGCATCCAGATCGTGCGTCCATATGGTACAGGTTGACTGTAGCACACACCAGGGTTTCGGTAACGCCCCGCGGAGCGCCGTTCGCTACGGGACGAGTCCCAAGGCATCATGGACGCCGTGCGCAATGCCCTGAGGTGATAGCCGATGGATTCCGAGGGGACCGTGCAATTCTCGCAAGTCGTCCTTCTCTTGGGGGCAACACTTCCAAAGTTGCTGGGCGCCGAAACTCCAAGGCTTCCCAGGCTTTCCAGCCGCCCTTCATGGGGGTCTGGACGATCAGCCTATCGAGTTGGCAGGGTGAACTTTGGTCATAATGGGTGCCCGCTCTATGCCCTCGCTCCAAGAAAGGCGTTTCCGAGACCATTATGGTCGCACGCAGACCGCGAGCGGCCAGTCGAAATCTTGCACTAATTGCGCCATCAAATTTCGCGTGACAGATCGTTGAATTCGGCAACGATTCTCACGTGCGTGACCTTCCTTCTCCTCCCCTCCTCCTCCTCCTCCTCCTCCTCCTCGTCCCCTCCCAGCCCCTCCTGCCTCCTAACGGTTGCTTGCCCCCTAATTGCCTTAGTCTACGGTTTTGTCAACCGCCCAGTTGTCCTCTTTGGAGGTTTGGAGGCCCTCAGCTGAGTGGTGTCTTACGCAGATCCAGATGAGACCCCCCCCCCCATTTTGGCCGTTGTCACACCGCGCAATGGTGGCCACTCCTCGCGAGGGGAGCGAGGAGCAGCAGCAGCAGCAGCAGTGTAGTCGGGGGCCGCCATGGTGCGCGCTGGACGCTTCGCTTCCCCTGGCAGTGGAGCGGCCGGTGGGCTGGACACAGGCAGCGGGAGGACGAACGTCGAGGAGCGGCAGGCGAGGAGCACAGGCAGTGAGAGGAGGAAACGAGGAAGGCAGAGGATCGAAGGATGAACATTGAGGATTAATATCGAGATCGAAAGATGGCCACTGAGGATGAACATCGAGGCGGAGGGGTGGAGGATTGAGATCGAGGGATGAGCATTGACTATGAGCATCGTGCGGGCGAGATCTGTGTCCACATCCACTGCAACTTGGAGTTTCGGGCTCCCGTCCCCAGATACTCGAGGCGCACTGGATATGCGTAAGAACCTGGCCCCTGTAGAGGCTCGACTTTTGTCCATGTCCAGTGCGCCCCGGCCTTGCGGTGTCCCTTCCAAGAAAGTCCAAAACGCACTGGACACGGTTATACATTTGTCCCGCACATCGAGGGAGGGAAAGGCGGAGGAGAAGGCAGGGAGGGCGGCCGGCATCGCGCCTGCGAGGAGCACCCAGCGGGACGCGGTGCTGCCGCGCCCCGCCCCGGCCCCGCTCTGCCGGCCACGCGTGGGAGCCACATCCGTGGACATGTTTGGGGGTCGGAAGAGTGGGACGGGGAGGAGGAGGAATAGGGAGGGGGAGGAGGAGGAGGAGGAGGAGGAGGAGGAGGAGGAGGAGGAGGAGGAGGAGGAACAGGAGGAACAGGGGGAACAGGAGGAACAGGAGGGAGGGAGGGAGGGAGGAGGGAGGAGGAGGAGTAGGAGGAGGAGAGGAGGATGAGGAGAGGAGGAGGAGGAGGAGGAGGAGGAGGAGGAGGAGGAAGAGGAGGAGGAGGAGCAGGCGGAGGAGAGGGTGTAGGGCTGAGGCAGAAATGAGGGGAGGCGACGATGGTGACGACGACGACGACGACGACGAGGAGGGCTCCAGCGCTTTTCTTCGATATCGGTATCAGGTCCACCCAGTCTCCTCCTCTCCTCCTCCCCTCCCCTTCCTTCTCCTCCCCCCCCTCCCCTCGGCATCGGTTCCGTCCTGCTCCCTCCTCCTCCATTAGGGCCCCCCTTCCGTGCCCTCCGTCCAAGACATCGGGCGCCGATTCCGTGTTGACAGTTTGGGCATCAAGGTGTTAGTATTTTGATGTTGCAGTCACTTGGGGGTGTCAACGCCCGGCTCGGTGGTTCGTCAGTCGGCGTTGTTACCCAGTTTTGTGTTCGTTGCTTGGGCCCACGGCTGCTTTTCCACGCGGGCTGCGCCGCGAGGCCCACGCGTGCTGAGGAGCGCTTGAAGTCAGCCTGCTGTGGTTGTGGGACCCTGGGGCTCCAGCGCAGCGGAGGTCAGCCACGCGCAGAAGGGGGCAGGGGGGGGGAGAAGGCTTCTTAGAAACACCTTGATTCTCACAAGGAGCGGGCTTTCTCTGTAGATGTAGGACCAGCTGAGAAGCAGCCTCCTCCCAAGAAGCCTTCCCCCCTCCGCCTACCCCCTTGTGCGCCGCCCAAGCGCAGCGGAGGGAGGGAAACCGTTGGAGGAGGAGGCGGAGGAGGGGGAGGAGGAGGAGGAGGAGGAGGAGGAGGAGGAGGAGGAGGAGG